TTCCCTGCAGAACAGGCTGTATTGGCCATTCTTTTGTTTTTAAAGCTACTCCAAGGGCAGGAATGGGTCAGCATCAAGGCTGTAGACCTGGTTCTTATTTCATGTCAGTGAACCGGCAAGGGAGGGAACAGTTATGCAAAATGTGTGGGCACTGGCTGAGCTAGCACAGACATACCAGCAGCAAAAAGGATGTTTTTCAGAGTGCTAAGCTATTCTTCACTTCTGTGTGTAACTTCAGCAGTGTTTGTCTGAGATTTTGGTGTGGTGGTGACTCCTGGAAGCTGGTCATACAGCAAGAAAAAAGAGCATGAAACAGTTTCTAGGTGATCTGAGTTAATACAAGGAAATCTGGTTTAAACTACCTTTATAATTCTTCTGCCTAATACTTTTTCCTTGATACCTGTCCTCACCATGAACTGGAAAAGAGTCTTCCAGAAGCTGATGAAGATGCACTTAAAAGAAATAATAAAGTTGAAAGGTTAAATTTTGTCTGTTCTGGCTGGGATTCCTGATTGTCATTTGGAGAACAGTCACACTCAGCTTTACTTGTTTTACTTCACTAGGAAACATTTAAACAGGTTTACTAGCTCTATTATTATGCTATGCCTCTGAAGAAAAGCAAATTTTTTGCTGGTTTCAGTCAGGACAGAGTTACAAATACCTTGAAACTTCTGGATATCAGTATCAGATTGAGACAAGTACTGTAGAAGCACAAAATGAACATGTATACCCATTCTACCTCAGAAGGCTCTGCTAAATTGTGTGACCTTTCACAATGCCTTGTTTCATGCGTCTTTGAAATTCTCATGCAATGAACCACCAATCATACAAAAAAACTCCCTGAAGAACAACCCCCCAAAATAAGCCAAGTTCATCAGAAAAATAGAAGGAGAACACCAAGGAAGTTCTTTTATAGGACTGGGGAAATGAGCAGGTTATAAGCTGATAAAACCATCGATAATGTGCTGTATTATCAAGTAGTATTTTTGTGCAATCCGTAACTTGATAAAACTTACAAGTACACAAATTGCAGAAGATGGTATGTGTCTGATACCACCTGTTGAGTTCACAGCACACCTAAGGCCTTTAATGTCAGCACGTTCTGGCCCTAAATATTTGGGATTTTGTTGTCTTTTTATCTGAGTCAGCATAATTAAGACTCTATAGGATGCTTGTGTTGAAAAATATGGGCATTTTTCTTGACAAATAGGCTTTGAAATGTTGTCACCCTTAGCTCTGAGGCATGAACCTGTTGAGCTGAGACGTCTGTTCTCATATATATAATCAAATATTTTAAATGCATTTAGTGCCTTTAGTATTGGCACTCAGAATTTATCAATTCAGATGTAAAACACAGAGAAGATAAAGCTGAAAACATCAAACTCCTAAGACACTGCCAAATGTAAATGCTGTCCAGAAACTCATTAGTAAATGAGTTGCAAGTTTTAGAAGTAGAATACTGAAAATGATCTTCTAATCAGGCTGGACAGTTAAAGATACAGCCTGATCTTTAGGTTAAATAATGTCTTTCATGTGCAAAAAGTTAAAGAAATAAGTCTGTGCTAAAGTGTCAGCTGAAGTTTTTAAGCTAAAGTCTCTATCTTCTTAAAGCTCAGTGAATGAAAGAGGAAGAAGTCTCTTTATTAAGATACATTTTCCTTAAAAAGCAACCAAAATCATTGCTACTTTCCCATGTGGGTTACACTCAACTCTACTAATTTTCAGCAAGGTCAGATGAAAAGGTTTGAGTCCCTGAACGTTTTTCCATGTCATCCTATGCATTTTTGATGGGAAAAATCAACAGCAACAACAAAAAAATAGTTTAGAATAAAATTCTGAAAAGGAAGGTGCTCAGGAAATGTCATGTTTATGGAAACAGAGGTAGAAAATATTCTCATCGGAGACTGTGGAGTGTGATTGCCAGGGAGCTGCCTGACCTGGGGCTGTGTGTGCTGGATACTCACACATTGCTAGGAGGGGAATCCAGAGCACTGCAAAAAGTTGGATGGCTTTTGAAACCAAATACTAGAAAAGGTATCCCTCCATTCTTCAGGTCCGGTTCGAGATGGTTTGGTTATGTTCTGGTTCCTGGATTTGAAGTGCAGGAGTCTGTGTGTACACATTGTCTCCAGTGCTGGGGAGAAGGGAGACCTTTTCCAAAGGACTTGGCAGAGCCAATGTTTTTAAGCTTGTCTAGCTGAGCAGCAAAAGAAACCAGAAACAGGTCATTTAAAATACAAAGTTATACAAATTTTTGCTCAATTGAAGACGCATTTTTGACTAGTATGAGATTCCTTTTAACCACATTTCTCTTAAATCCCCCAAAGCTGTGGTGTATATGAAATAAAGCTAATTTTTATTCGGGTTTTTTTCCCCACAGATGCCAAGATGAGTGTCCAGTGGGGAGTTACGGAGTGCATTGCGCAGAGACCTGCAAGTGTGTGAATGGTGGGAAGTGTTACCATATTAGTGGTGCCTGTCTCTGTGAACCAGGGTATACTGGAGAGCACTGTGAAACCAGGCTCTGCCCAGAGGGAATTTACGGCCTCAAGTGTGACAAGAAGTGTCCCTGCCACATGCCCAACACCTGGAGGTAAGATTTACACCCTTTAGCCTGCTTTCTTTTTCTGTATAAAACATAGAAATACAAATATAATCTGAAAATTAATGTTTCCTGATTTTTCTAGCACTTTCATGCAAACCAAAGCAGCTAAAGACCTGCAAGAGTATTCAGTATTCTCTAACCACACTGAGAAATAAAAGATCTACCCTAAAGAGCTTCTGAATTTTAGTACTTGCAAGTATATTTGATAGTAAATCAACTGAATGTTTAGATAATGTGTGACCTTTATATTTACCTCCTGAATAAATCATATTGTTCACTGCATGGTCAGTACACATCCTAAATCCCTTGGATATTCTGGTGCACTGTAGATGAATTGAAATCAATGGATGTATAGTCATCTGAGTTGGGTTTTCTCCCTCTCTCCCTCTCTGTATGTGTAAATACAGAATTGCTGTTGGTGACTATTTTAATACAAAATTTCCAAAACATCACTAAGTGTAAATACAGGTTTCAAAAATTAACTTTTTTTGTCATTTGAATTATTTCTTTCTAGTAAGCAGATAAAATCTGATCCCTGGAAATAGAATGAAAATAATTTTATCATTAGCTTAACTTTTACCATCTCTCCTTATTCAGGCAGTAATGAGTCCTATTTTTTGAGGGTGTTTTTGTGTCTTTGTGGATTTCACAGACTTTTGGCACATTGTTATGAAAAAACTAGTTATTTGGAGACAGAGATTCAGCTATGAGGGAGGAATGTCAGATGTCAGTTGAGGCGAGACAACATATTTATAGAACAATTCTGGACAGCTTTCTCTTGTTACAAAACACAGCTCTCCTGATTAAATACTATGGTCCTTGTGCATTCACTTACACATTCATTTAATTGCATTACTAGTAACAGCACCTTAGACAACGTTTGTGAGCATAACCTAAGATTTTGCTGTTGAAAGTAGCTGCAGAAGGAATTTGCAGAAACTGTTGGTATAAAATGCACTTTTCCTCATAGATGAAATAAAAGCCTTTAGTCAGAATTCAGCAGTGATGTTATATCACTCAGACATGCATGGAAATAGCTGTTCTGTTAGGCCTCTGTGAAAAATGACTTTGTGTTTTTCAACACACCTTTTGTTGACAAACTGTGTGACAGCAAACTGAATTCTGTTCCCTTTCCATTCATAGGCTTTTACAGTTGTCTATTTTCGGTTCTGTTTATCTCATTTACCTGAAATGCCTTGGTAAAAAATCCCCAGAGTTGTTTTGATGTAAAATCAAGAAGTCAAATATCTGGGCAATGCATTCAGCAATAAATGGCTCCATAATGCTGACCCATCCAGCTCTCAAATTATGCTAGTAGAGCAAATACTATTGTATTATGAATTATGGTTAGCTGCTTTCCTGAAAATCTGTCTGCAGACTGTGGTAGCAGCCTTGTTTGACAGGAATGCATTGCACTGTATAGTGTTTCTAATATTACAGGGATTACTTCTGATTCATGTTCAACACAGCTGTTCATTTATACCACTGGAAGACAGCTTGTGGTCAAACCAGATCACAAGTGTTCACAAGTAAACAGCAGCATATGGCTGGTCTGTTTTTGAACATATTCCCCTCTGTATGACAAATCAAAAGGCACTTAAAGCCCTGAAGGTGCAGGAGCATATTGGCAAGGACATAGTCATCTGTGAGGAAAACAAGTATTTTCATTACTTCACAAGTGTATTTCACATATATAAAGTTCCTTCCCCCTGGGTCAGGAAGTGACTAAGACCATCAAATAACAGAAATCAAAGGGTATCTGGGTAATAGTATAGAAGACAAAGCTCCCTGTAGACACTTTTTAGAAGTTGTGTCTGGTTGTGTTCATCTCTCACTAGATGTCAGCCAGCCAGGAGACAGCTCTTTAAGCATGTCAGGGGGTATCCTCAGCCCTTTCTTGCCTGCCACAAGTACTGCTTGCTCTGGCTGTAGCCTAAGGATCTTCTTCATAGCACTAATCCGTTTAGCAGCAATGTGACAACCAATAATCCCAGGGCACAAAAAAGGGAGTACAATTTCTTCTGCAAATACATTTTTTGTGTCTGTAGGTCTTGGATTCTGTTAGCCCTTCTAGGGGCCTTGATACCATAACAGCTTTTTTCGTCTGGGTATGATCACTAATTCAGGTATCATAGAATCAGAGTCACAGAATGATTTGGGTTGGAAGGGACCTTAAAAATCATCTCATTTCAGCTGGCTGCCATGGGCAGGGATGCCACTCACTACATCAGCTTGCTCCAAGCTCCATCCAGTCTGGTCTTGGACACTTCCAGGGTTGGGGCATCCACAGCTTCTCTGGGCAACCCATGCCCCTGCCTCAGCCTTGAAGAGGAGCAGTTGGTAAACTTAGAACTCTAGGTTATTGGTGTTCATAGATATGGAAATGAACTAAAGGTTAATTAAAAAAATGCTTAGCTCCAAAAAATATTGCTGCAAAATATACGTATTGCAGCATACAAGTGTGTCTAGCCAGTTTCTTCAAGTACTTACAGATACAAACCATTACAATACACCATAGTTCAAAAGTGTATACATTTTTATTGCTGTTTTATGATTGAGAGAATTGCTTCCAAACAGCTGTGGCAATAATTCATAACTTGAATTTTGAGTAGGCTAAGCTGTAGAGATTTCCTGCTGCTGTTGGTTGATGGCAGCTCCTGGGGATGTGAAAGGCAAACCCATCCTTGCTCTTAGTCATATCACAGCCTTTATTAAATGCTTTGTAAAGCATTAGAAATTGCTATACTTGAGAGATTTTATTCTGAGAGGCCCAGAGGACAGCAACAGGTAACAACCCCCTGTGGCAAGAGTTTTTAACAGATATTCTACTCAATTGCATGCTTTGACATATATGAAAGGATGTGCACTAGAGTGTAAATCAGGCACAGACCTCTGTTCTCTGTGACTAGGTGACATTATCCATGTTTTCTCCCTCTACTCTGCTCTTATGAGACCCACCTGGAATACTGCGTGCAGTTCTGGTGCCCTCAGTGTAAGAAGGACATTGAACTGTTGGAGCAAGTCCAGAAGAGGCCATGAAGTTGATAAGAGGACTGGAGCATCTCCCATCTGAAGACAGGTTGAAGGAGTTGGGGCTGTTGAGCCTAGAGAAGAGGTTTTGTGGAGACATCATAGCAGCCTTTCAGTATCTGAAGGGGCTCCAGGGGAGCTGGGGAGGGACTCTGTGTTAGGAGCTGCAGTGATAGAACAAGGGGTAATGGGATCAAATTGAAGGAGGGGAAATTTAGGTCAGATATTAGGAAGAGGTTTCTTCCTGTGCGGGTTGTGAGACACTGTCCCAGGTTGCCCAGGGAGGCTGTGGCTGCCCCAACCCTGGCAGTGTTCAAAGCCAGGTTGGATGGAGCCTTGAGCAACCTGCTCTGGTGGGAGATGTCCCTGCCCTGGGCAGGGGTTTGGTATTAGATGGTCTGTAAGGTCCATTCCAATCCCTAAATTCTATGATTCCACCACTGTTTCACACCTGTAGAGTGGGGTCATTCTGTATCACCAAGTAATTTGGTACAGTTCAGCCTGGAATTATGATTTCTTCGTGACATGAGCATTAGTGTGGCTTTTTTGTCTCACGGTTTTTCTAAGGCACATATATAGGATTGATTGCAATTGT